CAATAAAACATGGGCATAGTAACAATATTTTTTACTACATTTATCCATTTTAAATACACTAACCTCACTCCTTTGTAACAACTAAACCATAAATGTAATTAATTCCAAAAATCTTTTCAGGACCCCACCTTGATGTTTCGGGACCCCACTTTGGGTCCCGACCCCAACTTTGGGAAACACTGCTGTAGAGGAAATATTTAAGAACAACTCCAGCATTTTCATGTCTCACTTTTATTGTTTGAATGAAACTGTTTCTTATAGACATTATAATTCATGGGATTAAGTGGAGTGAAAGGCAGGGGAAAACAAGCTTGCAGGAGAACACTGACTGCATTAATAAACACTCTAATAGATGGCAGGGTAAATAAAAAGGGAGAGACTTGTATAAATGGTATTACAAGTAAAGAATGGTTTTGGGAGTAAGAGCTAAAATGAAGACATTTCTTGTTTGTTTTTGCAGACTTTGGACCTGTTCACTGAGATACTGACAGATTCTACCCCTGCTTTTCAATCTGAGTGAAAAGGTAGGATTTCTTCTCCCTGCCATCTGCTAAAATGATCAGTTAACATGGCAGTAAAATGAATGTGATTCTGTAATTGCCCAAGAGGACATGGTAGCACTCCTCTTCTAATAACTCGTGTGTATTGTTCTGTTTATTTAACAAGGACTTACAAGGAAAAGCACTTTAGCTCCACGATTTCTTTAATTAAATTCATTGGACAAGTTTGAGCGCAGAAATGATTAAGATACAGATGTAACAAGGTGTGAAATCTTGATTGACTGTGACGATGAATGATTTTACTCTGAAGCTTGGGTGCTGCTCTGCAAACCACCTGCAATACACCGTTGTGTATCATGGTTACGATGGGAGCACAACTTCAAGAAACTTAAAAAAGCAAGCTACATAATAACATAACTTAAACTTTTGCATTAAAGCAGATCTCAGATTATGCCTGTGGTAACAGCAGCTTGAAAGGAGAAATACTGAGGAAAAGATGATGCAAACGTAGGTTATAACACTTTGTGTGAAAATAGTTGTGAGCGTCCAGGCGCTCTGATATTAAGGTGTAAGTTTCGCAGCAGGAGATCCTTCATGGTTGTTTTGGGCAGATGGCTCGAGGCTTGAGAGCTGCATGTTATGCTTGTCTTCAAACTGTGAACCTTTGATACACAAGACTCCTGAAATACATTTAACATTTACCAGAGCGTCTGATCGCATYTTTGTAGGAGACTGCTAACTTGTTTTTATGTCTGCCTGTCTGTTGTAAAGAGATTTTAAGGGAGTTTATA